GTATATTTTTTTATATATATATATATATATATATATATATATATATATATATATATATATACACATACACATATATGTAAATACACATAGGCTAAATAGCAAATTAATTTACAGTAAATACATTTACTTCTCCATTAAAATGAGAAGAGCTTTCTTTTTTTTACAGTATATGAGTGTCAATAATTGCAATGAAAATAACATCATGATACAACAACAACAAAAAATCCTAATGGTCCTAAACACAGGCTTTATTTAACATTTTCGTGATTTGTGTAACATTTTTTGATTTGTGAAATATTTAGTGATTTGTGAACCTATGCCTCAAACATGTTCTCGAAAGGTTTCATTAGAGTCACTCGTCTCATCTGAACTCCGTTCAAACACAGACAAGTCGCTCGTTCATCTCTGCAGAAGTTCTGTTCTGCGTTCTGAGCGAAATCTGGGCTGGATCTGAAGATCTCCTAAAGACCAGAGTCAACATCAAGACAGCGCTCAATTAATGTCCTTTCCAAGACAGATCTTCCTTTAATTCGTCTCATTCTTCTGCCCGTCTAGAACTGAAGGTCTGGCAGCAAATTTAACCATCTGTGTGATTTTACAAACGTCTAAATATGTAAGCTCATTGTTGAAAATGTAAATTTGCTCTTGAATACATTAGGCTGCAGATGTAAGCAAACGTTTCAAACTCATCTGTGTAATTAGACTTTCGACTCTACATTTTAGGAATGATTGACAGCGTTAAATGAACAAGCTTTAACTTTATTAAATGGCAATTAGTAGCAGAGTATAATGTCTGAAAAACATTTTCTCAGCAAATATTCGAGGATGACTTTTCGTCTGAATGATTTTGGACCTTTTCTGACAGTGAAATAGACAAACTGACCTGAAGGCTACGAAGGTCACGTACGTGTCTGTCAATCAGCATCTGAACAGTCAACCACTCACTGCTGAATTAAACTGAGTCTACAGCATCAATAATTCATCACAGCACCTGACAGACATTAACTAACCAGGTAAATCAGAGCATATCACCTGAACAAATCAATTAGATTTCAGCATAATGAATCAGATCAGCACAGCTACACACAATTACTATTGTCTTGATTGCTTGTGAGGGATTGATTTAACAGATAGAGACTCTATCTTCTTCAAATCAACATCAATCATCATGACTCTATACATGAAATTAACACACCTTTAAATAATGATTGACAACAATCACATGCATCTACAGTTCAATGCCTAACAGCCCAATCTGTCACTCATTATTTAAAGGTGTCAAACACTTTTAAAAGTGCAAAGAAACATTTTAGGCAAATTTATTAATTAATTAAAAGTATATGATACTGCAACACCTCAGGGCAGAAGCCAACCATCTACTGACTACATTCAGTTTCTAATAACAGAACGAAATGTTTAATATAGACTCACTCAGCAGTTGCCATCATTTAACCAGCAGTTTAAATCAACTCAATGTCTAGACAAATACAACAAATCACAAACAGAGTGAGACTCCATCCTCCTCAAACCAACACGGATACCAAACACACTTAACAAAATATTCTATATGTTTGCTTTGATGTAATTTTATTATATCGCTTGCCTTTTTATATTGTATTTGTGCATTATACATTTATTTAAATTTGCTGTGTATTTTATTCATTTCTGACCTACTGTTGTACATCAAGGGTATGTGTTGTGCACTTGTGGCTTTACTTTTTTTATCCAAAGCGACTGCAAATCAAGCAATAAAATGTGCAAATATACAAATTAAACAATCAAATATTTGATACAGACATCTATATTACGTTGTGCCTGTAATACTTTTCAGTCTACCTACTCATATAAGGTACTTTGCGAATAAAAAACGTGTTGATTAAAAACTAAATATTATTGTAGCCTATAGGACTATTAACCAAATATATTGCAATCTCAACTAACCAAAAACCATCACCTGCAATACATGCATCAAAACCACCTGCTCACGACTAAACTGTTTAATAGATGGGTTTACTTTCCACATGACACATTAAAAGCTTAATATTGCAATATTCAACGGATTACAGTAACTGTCATTTAACCAGCAGTAACAACTAACTATCTAGCAACATGAAAACAGCATATCAGAATCAAATATTAATTGCAACATTTATGAAAGCAGTTTCGATGGGTGCACACCTGTAACTATTTAGAAAGTGAAAACTGGCGTCTCCAGTGACTCTTTTCCCAAATTCTGGAGGACAGAAGCAGCTCGAAACACTCATGTCCTGCCAAAACGTGCTGCTGCAGATCAGAGCACCTGTGTTACAGAATCTCTAGTGTCTAGAGAGGAACTAAAGGCGCCGTTGCTGCTGCTGCTGCTGCATTAGTGTCTCCTTGTGAACCGCACACGCAGAAACACAGCGCCGCGTCGCGCGTTAATTCCAGCTGCGCTGCTGTGTAAAGACAGTCTGATGCTGCTCTGAACTCCAGCTGTCTTACCTTCAGATGAAGCTGCGCGCGTTCGTTTCAGTGTGTGACAATCGGTCAGTGATGATGCTGAGCGCTCGTGCACAGGCTGAAGGGAAGATGAGGAGGAGGATGATGCTGCTGGGCTCTTCAGCGTGTGAGTGTGTGTTTGGAGAGTCAGCGCGCTCCGACGGCCTGCGAGGTGTGTGTGTGTGTGTGTGTATGTGTGTGCGTAACAGTCTTTCTGCTCCGCCCCTTCAACTCTATTATTACTAAACACACCGCGCCACCTGTCGAGAAAGAGAGAAGGTGCAGGTGCGTCAAGTTTCAACAGCAAAAGTTATTCAGAGGTGTAAAGAGTACCTGGAAACCATACTTGAGTAAAAGTACAGATACCTTACAGTGGACATTGCTCCATTACAAGTTACACTCTTAAAAATAAAGGTGCTTCACGATGCCATAGAATAACCTTTTTGTCTAAATGGTTCCATAAAGAACCTTTAACATCTGCAGAACCTTTCTGTTTCACAAAAGGTTCTTTGTGGCGAAAGAAGGTTCTTCAGATTATAAAAAGGTAAGAAAGAGATGGTTCTTTAAAGAACCTTTGACTGAATGGTTCTTTGTGGAACCAAAACTGGTTCTTCTATGGCATCGCTTGAAGCACCTTTATTTTTAAGAGTGTACAAGTCACCAAATTCAAAACAACTTGAGTAAAAGGCTAAGGCTGATGATACACGGGGCAACTTTTTGAGCAATGTTGCCGGGCAACTTTGACCTATGTTGCCTTCAAAGGGGCAACCAGATGAGACACAGGGCCCACGTCCGATCTAAAGTATCCAGACATTTGTTATCCATTCTCCAAGTGCCTAAGCAACATTGCTCAAAAAAAGATGCCCGGCAAAATTGCTCAAAAAGTTGCCCTGTGTATCATCAGCCTTATAGTAGGGTGACCATACGTGCCATTTTCCCAGGACGCGTCCTGGCCAGGATTTCTATATTGCCTAAAATATCTAGGTTTTGGCTTTGTTTGCGTGTGCAGACCGATCGGTGTATGACATCAAAATACCTAGAGAGCATTTTGAAAGCATAAGGAACCGTCTGTATGGTATTTTGATGTCATACACCGATCGGTCTGCACATGCAAACAAAGCCAAAACCTAGATATTTTAGGCAATATAGAAATCCTGGCCAGGACGTGTCCTGGGAAAATGGCATGTATGGTCACCCTACCTTATAGTATCTGATTTTAACAATACTTAGGTATTTTACTCATCAAATATAGGCTCAAAGATGCACTAGTCAAAGAGACATGCCAGTGAAAACAAGAAAGAGTTGATTTGTGAGAGCAATCACATTTATTTTCTAAAACCAAAATAAAAGTGAACACCTCAAAAAATAAAAAATAATTTTTTTGTAATATATTGAATATTACAATCACACCACTGTCTAAATAACCTCACAGCCAGTTCAAATTAAAGTTTAAACTGGGGAAAAACAGATGTATAAGATTAATATGTGGTATTTAAAAAGTGCATTACAAGTACTGAAATAATATAATCGATATTTACTCAAAGGATAGCAATAGGATATAGCAGGGCCATCCTTTGGGGAGATGCAACTGGTGCGGCGAACGGACCGAGGGGGGCCCCGCATCAGACTCAGCAAAGAGAGAAAGGGTCAGCAAAGGAGAAACAACCATACATTAATTGTTTACTAGAGCAAGTAATGATTAGTTTATGTTTATATGTTAATCTCATGCATTTGACAGAATATCAACACATTCTGAATCTTCTGTGTTCATTTACAGTAAGTTTAAGCGACGCATTACACATAACTTTGTATATTAACTTCAATTCGGCAGCATCTCAGATTCAGATTCATCGACTGGTGATGATGCACGTGCAGAAGAACAATGCACAAAAAAAAAACCCTCACTTTTTGAGCACTTTAAACGGAAGAGACTTTAGTGATCGAATCGGTGCATGAACGTGAACGAGAAAGATTGGCTCATTTCGAAGATTTAAACGCCACTACAGCAGTAATACGTTTTTTATATAATATATATATCAATGTTCAAACAGCCTATTGTGACTAGCCTCTGCTGCAAGTTTTTTTTTATTTGTTTTTATAAAGTTCTCTAGATTTGAATATCCACACAATATACACAACATAAACCTACAGATTATAGATATCGGTGCTCAGGAGTCAGGACTGCAGCGTAAAACACTAAATCCATTTCAACAAGGTTATAGAGACAGAGACAGGCTTTCAAACGTATAGCTTTTATTGGTAAAAATAGGCCTATTTGAATTAGCAAAAGACTCATATATTTATAAATTGAATAGATTAACATAAATGTTGGTTCTTATAACTGCAACAATAAGAATACTTTAACAATACTTGCAATAATACAAAAAAACAGTGATTAACAGTGAATATTGAATTGTGTCATATATTGGAGTCAATTTCAATAAGGGGTGACAGAGACCTCTAGTGGTGAGCTTGAAATACCAAACCATCCAATCACAAAATAGGCCTATTTGAATTAGCAAAAGACTCATATATTTATAAATTGAATAGATTAACATAAATGTTGGTTCTTATAACTGCAACAATAAGAATACTTTAACAATACTTGCAATAATACAAAAAAACAGTGATTAACAGTGAATATTGAATTGTGTCATATATTGGAGTCAATTTCAATAAGGGGTGACAGAGACCTCTAGTGGTGAGCTTGAAATACCAAACCATCCAATCACTGATTTTTAATTTTTTTAAAACAGCAACATACACAAGTATTAGTGCAAATAGTTTTAAAGAAATACTATTAGCTACTGTATATCTTGACAGAACAGGGTTCATTTAAAATAACTTTTAGGTTACAGCTGTGTCCCTACTTTTGTCAAAATCACTAGATATGAAAAGATTATTTTATTTCATTTAATAAAATCAGTTAATGTCAAAGTTAATGCTATGTGTCAAAGTTTATAATAACTGTTTGTATCTAACACTGACCCATATTGAGTGACATACAATAAGAAACATTTGTTAGCTGTGAGGGTTTGGAAGCAACAGGACAAAATATATAATTTGGAGATCAAATTTCAGCCCGTAATAATGTTGAGCTCAAGACACAAGCTGATCATTGAATGTATTCAAGCTCTACAACTATGAGATATTCTCAAACTCTCCTGATCATTGAGTCTCTACAAAGACTAAATCTGACACAAGTTTGATCCACATCTTCAACTCTATTGAACAACCAGTTTGACTGTGATTGTAAGACAGTGAGAATTTTAAGGACATGTTTTTATGTAATCAACCCATCACTAAATTTAAGCAAAACAAAGTTCATAATATTTAGTAATCAGCAAATCAATACTCAAGTGAAAATTAGGATTAATAATAAAGAAAAGAAAGAATGTACACTCTAAAAAATGCTGGGTTAAATACAACCCAGTGCTGGGTAAAATATGGACAAACCCAGCAATTGGGCTGTTTTGACCCAGCGGTTGGGTTACTATCCAGAAGGTTGGGTTAATCATTTAACCCAACCGCTGGGTCAAAACTATGGGGGTAGAATTGTTGCTTAATTCCAAATAAATAGATTATGATCCACAAATAAATAGAATGAGATCCACAAATAAATCTTAAAGTTTCACAAACATGAATTAAATTCACAAATAAATAAAATGAGATTTGCAAATAAAAAAACATATTCACAAATATATATTTATGTCACAACCACAACTTTGCCTGGCATTTATTTGTGAATCGTGTCCTGTGCATTTGTAGATAGCTGCACGCATTTGTGAATCGCGTCCTGTGTATTTGCGAATTGTGAAACATTTCTTGCGTCAAGACGTGCTGACAATCCACAAATACGTGGATAAAAAATGCTGGGTTAAAAAGGGACAAACCCAGCGGTTGGGTTCAAAACAACCCAACTGCTGGGTCAAAACAACCCAATAGCTGGGTTTGTCCCTTTTTAACCCAGCGCTGGGTTATATTTAACCCAGCATTTTTACTATTTTAATATATATATAGTCTATTGCATTCTGTGTGGAGAGTCGTACCAAGCATTTCACTACATGTCGTATTGTGTATGATTGTGTATGTGACTAAAAAAGTTGGATATACTGAATCAGAACGTACATATACTGTACAGTTCTCTCACAGTACCATACATTATTTGATGTGTGAATGTATGGAGAAACGTGGAGAAAAAAAATACAATGTATATGCTATATAAAAGCGACAAGGGTTGTAAAACATGAAAATAGATTTATGTCTGTCAAAGGTGTGAAATTGTGAAATAACTCTGACATGGAATTAAGAATTTGTACTTCTCTGCAAATTAAAAAAAAATAAAGTTCAAAAATATGGTGATAGACAAAAGTTTAGACTGAAGTCTAATGAAATTAAGATTAGAAGAAAGTTTTCAGCTGTGAGAGTTAAAGAGAGAGATAATAAGAGTGTGTTTCTTTCACTCAACTGTGTGTCTCAGTTGTTTCTCACAGGAGGCTATTTAATCTCACATAGAGACACTGAACTACTTACCAGAATAAAAAAAACAAATCCAGCATAGAGGGGTTTAGTGAATGTGTGTAAATGTGTGAGTGTGTGTGTATCAGAGACGCTGTAGAAGCACAGAGTGCAATTTTACTCTTTGTCAATGCTATCTGTTTGGTCTCTGAAAGCACTGAGAATTGAATTTCCACAGCAGCAACAAGCTTTGAATTTCATGTTTTGGGATTAGAGACTTGAGTCTGTTTCTCAGATGCTGCTGTTATGAGTAACAAGCAGCTGTTGAGCTGAATCAAGATCATCTTAAGTATGTATGCTGTATGCAGGGATTGATGTACATATGGGTTTTCAATGACTTTACAGCACACACATGTCCAAACACACATGACTGAATGATTGTTAGTGTTGAACATACTTGAGTTTGTCCAGTCTCTAGTTTGGATCAGAGAGCAGCTTGACTAATGAATGGTGGGTGAGCGTGATTTCACCAAGTACAAGATGTTCCTGGATCAACATCCTTGTTGATCCAGGAACAACATTCCAATCAACCAATCAGAATTGAGATATAACTTTTCTGGAAATATTTGTTTTAGGCTTACAATCAGGGTTAGGTGCTTCTACACCCTTGTTAATCAGCTATCATTTCCCACTGATTTTAGGAATAAATTATGGGTAGGGTTAGGTTTAGGGGTAGG